GATTTTTTTAAAAATAATCTCAATTAAGAAAAAGTAATCAAGGGTGTTTATCGTAATTAACCAGAGGTTTGAAAATATTTGAGTCATTTTTAAAAAATATATGGTATTTTAGTCATATTCGCATAGTTCCATAGGATTTGAGTAATTTTTTCAAAAAACAAAGCTCGAAAGGTCTACTAGGAGACAAAACCAAAACATTTACCGGAAGACAAAACACGAAAGACGAAACTGTGTGGATAAACAATTATAAATTCTTACATATAAATTTCAAAACCTTCGATATATTGTCCCCTAGTGTGATTCTAATCCGATTTCTAGCATTTTCTGTTCGCTTAAGAAATTTATTTTTGCAATATTTTACAGATTTTTTGTACTATATAAAATCTCTCATATACAGTCCTTCTAGGCTGATGTTGTTGTTGTTTTTTCTTATAATGAAAACTAGAGGATAATCCGAATTTTTATCATCCGACTAATTTCTTAAAATGAATGTAGCTGTCGAGTAACCCACTGAACAAGTTTTCTAATATATCTAAAGCATGACACCATTTTGACTAGTTAAATAGAAATGGTTTGATAATTTCGCGTTTGAGAGAAATTGAATTCTAGCCTAGACCCTCTCCAAATGGTAGTCTGATGTTTAGTCAATCTTTATATTGAGACTATATTAAAAATCATTTTTATACTTTTTTAATTTATTTAACGTTTATATTTAGAACTTTAAATAATTGTTAGAAACAAGCCAAAAAACAAAATTGTTAGAAACAACTTCAAGTAATTTTAATTAAAAAATTTTAAAAGTAATTGAAAACAAAATTAAAAACCCTAAAATTAACTTTAGCCCATGCAATGTATGCACCTTAATACTAGTTTTATTAAACGTAAAGTCCAAAATCCTACGTGTCAAAAATTACTCTCATTAATGAAATCGTTTAATTACGTTCGCTTGCCCGTGATAATTTTTTTTGACTAAAACGTTCTAATTTTGCTAGTGAATATTACACCAATTGCCATTATTTTCAAAATTATTCTAAAATTTGCTATTGTGGCAAAACTCTTTCACCAAGTGCCACATTTTATCATTTACTGTATAGTAAATTGACATTTTACCCATTTTCTCTTCTACACA